AGTGGTTATATTCTATCATTAATTAGTTGGTTATATTGTTATAGTTGGTTAGCTGTGAAACATGAAGGATAAGAGAAGTCGGGCCAAGAAAACTAACCGAGAACGCGGTTCTAGGCGAGGCCGTGAGGGTGAACATGAGACGGCCCCACTTCCCCCTAGGGCGTACCAAAGGGTTCGGCGGGTCGCCTGCCCAACTCTCGCCAGGACTCACTCGTTCACTTCAATCCTCAATTAAAATCGAAATAAATCACGGGAATAAATATAATGACGATCCAAAACTTAACGCAAAACTTATGTACATTACTATCTCAAAAGGGAGTACAAACATCGAATATACAAAGGTTCTCGGTTCACCACACATCCAGCCCGTGCCAAGCACTAGGGCGAGAACCATTACAAAACCAAAAACTAGTCTAGGCTAGTCTAAACTGAGCTCTCGTCCTTGCTCGCCTTCCCCTGTTAAGGAAAACAAACTAAAGGGGTGAGCTAAAAGCTCAGTGAGATTCTATATACAAAAACAAGTAATTGAACAAGGACATTAATCATGTAATAACAAATAATCCAGAAAACATGTCCAATATAAAGCAATGATAATGCATTCATTAAAAGGATACGGGCTCACAAGGAGCTATTTGTTCGTTCGTTCGTTCCCTTGACATTTCACCTTATTACTCCAATTATTTGAAAATTTCCTTTTTTGAGAAGTAAAACCCTCGTGCCTGCGTTCGTTCATTCATCCCTTTCCGGACGTTGGCCGGACTCCACCCATCCGGACATGGCCGGACTATAAGGTAATACTCGAGTATACCAAATGTTCACCCAGGTCACCATATCGCCCGACCGAGTCCGCTTCTGGCTCGAGTCGATCGGTAACAAGAGCAAGGGCCCAGTTCAGCCAAAAGGCTTACATTCATGCGCAACTAGTATTTCAACATTTAATCACCGAAAATTTCATATTTATTTAGGTCGAGTGCGATAAAGTACACACTCACCTAGCAAAAGTTCATTTTAGAAATCATAGAAAACAAGTAACATTTAATCAAATAGTCACGAATAATCACATAGACCCAACAATCCACTTAGTCATAGAAACAAAACGTATATAGAACACTCACCTATTTAAGCAAAATAATGTCCAAAGTATCCTCCCAGATAACACTTTCAATCGCCAAGAAACCCTAATAATAGCCAAGAGAAAATATTACAGTTAAACCCCTCCAAAGGTTAAGTGGACCAAAGAAAATTCAAATAACTACTAATACCAAGCGTAAGTATAGTTTTCTAGTCCTCGAGCGTAAATTTGGGCAGCATACCCTTTGTGTTTACCAAATTTTCAGCCATTTTGGCTTCATTATTTTTCTCAATCCAACCCAAAGTTGTCCATGACACAAATTCAGTTCCATAGCCATTCCATAGGCTCAATACAATACAAGAACAAAATTAAGTGATAACAAGTGCGGAAATATAACCTAGCGAAAGATAGATTTGACGTGTGGTTGCGGAAAGAAAACATCCGAGGCTACGCTTATCGGATTGGTATGTAACTTATACCGTTTCGAAGCTAAGACGAAGTCCTACAACTTCCATGAAGGTCACATAGTCAGATTTCCAGGGTAACCTGGTCATATTCCCAAGTTACAGAACCAACTTCCAACTTGACGGCTAATTAACCGCACTAGACTAGAATGGTCATATCTCAGGCTACCAAGGTCTGTTTAAGGTGTTCTTGGATGCGTTTAAAAGCTAAGACAGAGTACTAAAACTTTCATGTTTTGGAAAAAAGCTAACTCAGTACGGATCCTAGTGAATAAACATGATAAACTGGATAAACTGACCAAACGGACTACTGGGAAAAACCTTAAAACATTGAGGGTATTTTGGTCTTTTCACAGGCTACGTTGCTCCGATTGAGCTGAAATTTTGTAGCCACCTATAAAATACCATTCTCTACAACTTTCATGTTTTATGACAAGCCCAATTCGGCCTCTAACAGGGTGTAACAAAAACGGGCGGAATAGGATGAAAATTTCCAGAAATCCGAAATCTTTTGGTTTCAATGATAGTTTTCTTAATTTCTTGCTACACTTGCTACCAAAACCCCCTATATAACCTTATATACAACATATACTAACTATACAAAAAGTTTAGGCAGAAATTAATCAAACTCTAATTTACATATTTCATCCAAAAATCACCACAACAACTTGCATCACTTGTAATCAAACCCAAAACATGAACTATTTAACATCTTAAACAAGAATAAAAGGATCAAAGCCATATATCAGATTTTATACCTCAAAAAGAAGGCTTGCAAGAGTGATCCTCCACTATTTCTTGAAGTTTTTGGTTCCCTTAGCTTCCCAAGCTTCCAAACTTACAATCAATCGATTTAGAATTCGATTTTAGCACTTGGTTGGTGTAAATCAAGAAGGAATTTGTTTTCTCTTGCTCTCCCTTTCTCTCTCTCTTGCTTGGCCAAGACCAGAAAAAAATGAAGAAGAAAGATGGCTGAAGTGAAGGATAAAAAGGCAAGAAAAAAAATTAATTAAGGAGTCATGAGGTGGTGACACTTGGCGCCACCAAAGCCATGCAAATTTTTCTCTCTCCCTTACATTTTTGGCCACAAATTTCGGTCAAAGGCAGCTAGAAATGAAGGGATATTTTGCTCAAATATCAATGAGCTCATGTGGTAAGAAAGTGGTGGTCCAGTGGTGTGTTCAATCGGTAGTGTGCGGTACACGTCGGTTCACACCGTTTTTCTTTAAAACACCCGTACTAGGGTTTTTACTTCCTATTCACCAACCTTATATCATTGCTCCTAATCACATATTATTTCTCACTTAAAAGTCACTTTTAATCACCAAATTTGATCCTTGCTCCGTACCGAAAAATCATCCGGCGAAAATCGCGAAAACCCTAATTTGCTCCAATTTTGAAAACGAAGAGTGAAACCCTACTTTCTAGATTCATTTGCACTTATTGGAGAATGATTGGGTAGTAGGGCTTTAATAATTGAGAAAAATATAAGAAATTTGCGAGTCCTCACACTCTCTCCCCCTTAAAAGAATTTCGACCTCGAAATTCATACCTTCCGTCGCCTCGGAGGACCCCAGAACTTGTTGCTGATCTACGGCATAAACTTGTGTCGATACTTTTGTTTGATTTCCTCTTTCATGAGGTTGTTTCGGTTTGGTTCCTTCCACTTGTTGAGTACTACCCTCTCGTGGCTGTTTCTTCGGGCAATTGTTAAGTTGATGATTGCTACTCCCACAAATCAAACATTTTCCCCCTTTCCGCCAGCAATCATTCTCAGTGTGATTTGCCTTTCCACAGTATTCACAGGCCAATCGAGGAGCTACTGTTGGATCTTCTCGAGAAATGTCCTTTGATCCGATCTGACTTCCTTTCATGGACCTTTCACCTAATGCTCTTAATGTCCAAGGTGGGCGAGGTGAATGGTTCACTTTTTGCACTTTGGAGAGCATTGTCTTTTCTCCGAATTCCTCAGGTGTGCTGTTGGATATATCTCTCTTCCGCGTTTGAAAGGCTTTTACTTGGGCTTTCACATCCTCAATTCTTTGGACCTTCTCAAGAGCCTCTGTAAACGTATTAACTTGAACTGCCGCTAATGCCTCCTGGATTTCCAAATTTAGTCCTTGTACAAATCGTCTTATTCTCCGTCGCTCCGTAACCACCAATTCGGAAGCGAATTTAGATAGTCTAGTAAATTTGGTCTCATATTCGGCCACACTTAGGGTTCCCTGACGCAAGCCAATGAATTCGTCCTCTCTCCTTTCTTGGACTAAAGGTGGGAGATACTTTTCGTTAAATTCCCTTACAAAGTTCGCCCATGTCCATACTGTCTGTTCTCTTTCCCACTTGGCCTTAATTACATTCCACCACGCGCGGGCTGGTCCTTCGAATTGAAATACAGCAAAATTTACTTGTCTTTGCTCCATATAATTCAAAGCCGGGAAGATATTAATCATTGCCTCCAACCACTGCTCAGCTATATCCGGATCAGGCCCTCGTTGAAATTTCGGAGGTAGAAACTTTTGGAACCTCTCAAGAGCCTTATCCTCTCCGATCTCAGGATTCCGGGGTTGATTCACTGGCATTTGGCCTTGTTGATCTACCAGTCGTGCCAGGATATTTGTCATTTGTTGCATCGCCGTTGCCATTTGATCTCCAGCCTCAACCCTCGGTCCCTGTTCTTGCTCGGCCACTGTTTCTCTTTCTTCCCTCGGTTCTTGAGCTTGCCTAACTCCATGGCCACGACTAGTTCCACGTCCACGACTACGTCTCCCGTCCATATATATGTTTTCCCTCTCTCTTTTCTTTTCTTTTCCCCAAAAAGGTAATTTAGTAAATAAACACAGTAAATTGACTACAGTAACAAATTCTAGCATTCCAAATACACCAATAAACATATACGCACATAACATGCCATATCAAGAAGACGGATAAGCAAATACACAAATACATATCAAGTTGGACAGATAACCATGTACACACATGTATACTAACGTCATGTAGTAACAATATACAGGTAAATCAAAAGGAAAAGGCAAAGTCGTCCCAGTATCAGCCCGTCCAGTCCCTCACATCACTTACTATCCAAACTAGATGTCCCTCACGTCACTTACTAACGTCTTGTGCTCATTCTAGTCAGACAAAGCCTGTTCATGTTCCCAAAATGCAAGTCTCAAGTACTTAGCAGCGCCTCAACTCTGGAGTACTCAGGCACAAGAATCCGAAATAAGATAATCCACATCTCGAGCTGCAGTCCCAAGAGTAAACTATCTACAATCGGAATTCCTACCTGACATACCTATCTATGATCCTCAGATACCATGAGAAAGATTTAAGGCCTATAACATTCGCAATTCATAGCTTCACTTAGTCCCTCATACTTATTCACCACTTAGTCCAGGGTCACTCCGCGCCGAGACCACGCGAAGCAGCTATAGGTTTTATCCCTCAATCGCTTAACTCTCAAGTCAAATCGTCAAATCGAATCTTCTTGCAGAATGATATGGCACGTAACCATCCTGAGACAAGAAGCAATTCGCCACTGCCATCAGTAGTTTACATAACCGATCACAAAATTGGATAGATGAGCATCTAGCAAACTGTTTCTCACTTTCCTTATTGGGTCTATTAAGGGGATCATACACGAAAATGGAGCTCAAAAACCATCTAATTGCATCAAAAAATTCATCCACGACAAACAGTTCTCCACAGAGTAAATTAATCTCAACCCCAGCTATCCCTTATCATGCGGTGCTACAGTTAAAGAATTCGACTTCAGAACTAAAACTTGCTTTTGATAAATACAAGTTAAAATAATATATAATTTTTACTCCAATAGTATCTAAAATTGGATATGGTGTAAACTAGTTTGGTATCACTGGACCTTTGGTCCAGTGGTCATCCCAAGCCTTCTTAGGCTTGGTGGTGCGGGAGGTCAAGGGTTCGAACCTTGCCTCCCACAAAATTTGTCATAATATGTGACGGTCTTCATTGACCAGTTTCGATAGAATTTCTACTCACATCGAGTCCCCTCCCCTCCCCCTAGAATAGGTTAGCTTAGGTTATAGGAATTCTATCGTATCGACAAAAAAAGTAAACTAGTTTGGTATGATGGATGAATATGACACATGGCAAAGGCAAAAGTTGTGGATATGAGGGTTAACTGTAATGCAGATAAGCATAACATGTAAACCTGAAAAGCTAGCGGCAACATGTTAGTTCTGAAAAGTACAAAAAAAAAAAAAAAAAAACTCATGAGATGGAGGAAAGAGATGGAGAGGTTGATGGAAGCGATTGCAGCCATAAAGTTGGCGAAAATACAAGAGTTTAACATCTGCACCTATGAACACACGTGCAGCTATCATTTATTGGTTCTAACACATTCAGTGCCATTCGAAGAGTAAGGGATATTTACATTTGCTTGGTACTCAATGCTATTAACTATGGCACAAGTCAGCAGCTTACAAGAGGAGCAACTCAAAAAAAGATGCGTGTTGGCATATTCTCTAAAGAATCCATAAGAGGTTTCATCCTAACATATTATGGTATTCTATAAGTTGGAACTAACCAACAAAAATAGATGTTTAACGATAACCTACAATGCAACAGTACAGCACCTGAGAAGGCTAATAAAAGGCATCCAAATATTCTTCACCATCTCAGTAAACAAAAAACCCTTCCATCACAACAGTCACTGTTCCCACAAGTGGTGGAAGAACATTATATCACTAGAGATTTAACTTTCTACACGTCTGATACACGGTGTCAAACTCAATAATTAAAATCATATGGAAGTTTTGCAAATCTGTCAGTGTTTTGCAGTGTTATGTCTATAAAGTTATAGAAAAAAAAGAAGATGAAGTTGTTATAAACAACTAGCAGAAGAAACCAGAACTCACTACACTACACATGATAAATGTTTTGAGGATTAAATAATACCTGCGGTGAAGATAAGAGAATAATGTTCCTGAAGTTCTCCAAGGTCTTTTGCTGAGAGAAGAGAAATAAACATAGAAGATATATATTCAGTGACAACAAACAAAGGTTTTTTTCCAACCCATCAGAAAAGGAAAATATGATGAAAATTTTCACTGGAAAAGGCTAAAGGAAAAAAGAGTCCAGAGGCAAAGAAAACTTCAGAGAATGCTGTCAATCAAATCATTACCTTACAAAGTCTGTACAGAAAAGTATTTTGGAGATCTGGATCATCCGTGAAAGTAAGCTGATGAATGCATTGTGTGCCCTTGAGCTTCTTCAAGAGCCACAATCCGGAATTGAATAAAGAATTCGAGCTGTACAAATATCCTAGATGTGGACCAGAAACAGATACATAGGTATAAAGGAATCTGAGGTATGGTTCCATAACACTCTCTGCAAAAAGTAAAGCACAAAATCAGCAACCTTCCAAGTTGATCTTAGAATTGCATTTTTTGCCACAGCATTCGAACCTGTTAATGCAGTTCTCAAAATGATGTTCCCAATTGAATGTCCAACGAAGCTTAGCTTTATACTTCGTAAACCTCCAGATCTAGAGACCTTATCCATCTTCTTCTTTATGAAAGAGACTACTTCTTGAGCTAGTCTCTGTCCCATTTCTCTAAAATCTCCAGATGTTTTCTCTTCATTAACCTCTGACATTAAAAATTCTACCTTAGGATCAATCAAAAGCCATTGATTACGAACTAGTCGCAAGTCCAGGTGATGCCCCTGCACATTTTTTAGCCCACATGCTAGAAGGTCAGCTCTAAATTTGGAAGAAAACCTAATAGATAACATTTATAAGACAGTCCCATTCCTTTCTTCACGGCATATTTTGTTACACAATTTGGTAGTTGATTTAGCCGTACAAAATAATATGGATATCATAGTCATAATCCAACAGAAAAGGAATTTATTCAGGAAGCTAATAGACCACTATTTCGTATTTGCAATTTATAAAATTTCCAGTGAGCACACCAGCCAAGACATATGTTTGCGAGCGCAATGCACAGAAATAATGCTCAAGAACTTTGATGAAAGTCACCAAATTGGATCTTTCTGGCTACAACTTTCACTTAAGTTAAAATGAGAAAGGATTCAAAAGCAGACTAATTGCGGGTAACAAGAATAAAAGATCATATTCTGTTATTTTAGCCAAAAAATAAAAATCAGACAAACGATTGTTCTCCCTAATCTAATGTACTGGAATATGCACAAAAGGAGAAAAGAAATGGCATATATTCAGTAAACCAATATTAGGGGTTTGTTAAAATCTCATTAAGATACCCAGAAAAACACACGGAAACCTTTTAACTTTTAGAACAAAAACGTGATGAATATTGTTGTATAAGAACATTTGGGCATTATTTGAAGAGATGATTTTATTAAGGGATAATTTCAGAAAACTCCCTTGAAGTTTTTGACAATTTCACCTAGTTCCCTTGAGATTTGAAAATTACACATAACTCCTTGAGTTTACCATTTTGGTAACAAAAACTAGTCAATGGTCAAAATTTTGATGAATAACCCAAAATGCCCTCATGAAATTGTCAAATTCATACCTTCTTATAAAATTCTTTAAAAAATTATGCAATATGCACAAAATCTCAAACCCACTTTCAACGCTCATCTATACAATTTTAAACCTTTCTTATTCATACATTTCAAATTCGTACCATTATAGCATGACCACCACTGCCATTAGCCCCTAAATTCTAAAACCTCAATCTCAGTTACAAATTGAAAAAAAAAAAAAATCAGCACTGTTAAACTCAAACTTTCGCCAACTGTATTAATATAACATCCTATCCCTCAAACGTTGGTGTACCAGCACATGTTCTGTCCTTTTTAAACCTCCAGCTTACATCTTCTATTCATCTTCATATCCTCCAAGCAAAGTTAAAATTAATTTGTAATATGTTAGAATTGTGTTTAGGACATAATTAGTTATTCCATGAGTGACCCCTTTTTCCATTAAATGTTTAATTGTGTGGTGCATTCCTATGCACAAGCTTAGGAGTGTATTGTTTAATTGCATGAAAATATTAATATATTAAGGTTATTATGGTCATTTTATAGGGCCAAGGGAGAGGCCAAGGGCAGTAAGTGTAATATTGAAAACCTCAAGGGTACTAGGTGAAATTGTCAGAAACCTCGAGGGAGGTTTCTGAAATTAACCCTTTTATTAATCAGGGTAAACGTTGTAAATATGGATTAACATGTCCTACACAGTTGGTTTTAAATGTGGCTTGGATGCATGCCAAATGTGCAAAAGAGAATTTAAAGTTTGAATGGAGGTTATCTGTCATGTTCCCAGACTGCCAGTGCAAAGAAATTTTAAAATGAAGGTGTAGGAAAAATTAACCCTTTACAAAATATGTGCTTAAAATCTTTCTCAAACTATTTCTTCCGTGTCCGAACCACTTTAGATCAGAGCTACCACAGAAGTCAATAAAAGATTTGAAATAACACTGCAGATCTGTTCTCATCCATCATCAATCTCCCCAATATTAAGGCAATCTTATTCAAGGTATGTTGATTTTAGTCTCTCTTTTTCTTAAATCGTGCAACCATATAAAGCACACAGGTTCACAGTTTTGTCTTAATACAATGTAGTTACACATATATGTAAGACCATGGATGCAACAGCTGTGCATCACATGGAAATGAGGTAAAAGCACATAAAACTAAAATTATTCTCAATTAAGAAATAGTAGCAAAGCAAGAGAGCTCAAGTAGCTACAATAGCATTGTCATGTAGGAAGAAAATATTAAAAATGTCTGCTGAAACTTTTGAAGGTCTACAGCTCAAAGAGAAGGATAATACCTGAAACCCATGGACAAAGACAACTATTTTCAAAACACGACCACTTTGCCGGGAGCTCACACCAGATAATTTGTCCATCGCTTTGGATCCAACTTCTGAAAGTGGGCTTACTTTGTTCTTCTGATCCGCACGGCTGAAGTATGAATTTCCACTGGTTGAACGTAATGGTGCATTTACAGTCCGCTCTACAAGCATGATTGGAATCCGTGATGGATCTCCAAATATATGCAGGTCTTGAATGGATCTACTATTGATCTACAAAGAAGCAATGCAAGTTCAGATGTCAATGCAAATGAAGATAGACCAGCAAACCAGAAATATTATAGAGTGACCCACTCTCATTTGGGCAATACTTCGTCTATGAAGCTCAGCTCGCATAGCTGCAGTTTGGGCTGGCTGCAGAAAGCACAATGAAAATTTTCACTGGACCCTGCCAATGCTTTGTCACAATAAATGAAGAAAAAAACAACAACAATATTATGTAGAACACTAACTGCAGTCCCCAGCAAAGGAGAACTATACAAGTACTAGAATAAAACAGTAGAAGACACAAGTATTGAGAAAATTACATCCTCAGAAATTTTCCGCAGAACAGGTGCTCTCCCATGAAAACCATGGTAGGACGAGTCATCAACAGCACTACTTATATATTGATGAGGCATCTCAACCTTAGAGTGAACCATCCATATTGACCATTCCGCTCTCCGATCAATAGCCCATTGATCTTGTAAATGTTCAAGAATCTTTATTTTGTTAGCCCTGGTCAGAAGCAAAAGAAAGTCTTTGAAGTTCATGTATGCAGCAGCAAGCACAGAAAAATAGTCAGTGCATTTCATAAATGTAAAACACAAAAAGCTACTCACAATGAAAAAGCAAAAGGACACATAAACTCTCTAGTACAAATGGTTTGTCGTTCATTTTTCATCCAGTTAACGTCATTCCACCAATAAATGCAGAAATCAACAGAATACTCAGCTTTGTGTTGAGTTAGGGATCCCTTTTTCTGTTTTTAGGTCTTGATTCTGTATATTCTAATAGGACTTGTATAGCATACTTGTCTGATAGGATGATGGTTTAACTTCTGATACATCATCAGAGATCAAAATATATCCGAGTCTCAGAACACAAACTTCAAAATGGCTGCATACAGAAAGTGGTCTAACAAAGATCACACTAAGATGGCTGAAGGGAAAGGGACTAAAAAACCGGACGTTCTTTCTCTTTTTTTTTTTTTTTGGAGGCGTATAATCAAATTTTATTAATTTAAGCAGAATTTTGGCCAGATTCTTGAGGATCCAGTAATATAAGAATTCCTATCCATTAACCAGTATTTAAAAGCATCAGTAAATCAACTCAAAGACACTGACTAAAACCCCACTCTACCAGAAGTTCCCAATTGTTCTATTCCGTTGAACTCCTCCCAAGAATTAGCCATGTTGTGCCTTCCTGTACAATAGGATGCACAATATCAAGCATAAACATTCCTCTTTAGAAACAAGCATAATTTTCTGGTAAATGATAATACTTCAGTCTACAGAACTTTGTTGATACCTCTATTTTCACTTGGTTAGATTTCTTACTTATATTTTATTTTAATTACCTGGGAGCAAGAATCCTAGTAATTGTAGAAAACAATATTAGGCATTTATAAGTATGGCTGTTCTACTTGTTTAGTGTTTTTATTTGACTATTAACTTAGCAAAGACCCCTCAATATGTGCTAGATCCACCCTTCGGCTTGCATCAATTGTTATGCCACAGACAACCAGTAATATAGTTGCATAGGAAGCAGCTTATGTTGGTGAGCTTGAGTTGATACACAGACAAAATTTTGAGTTTTTAAAAACCACGGAAGCTGAGGATAAAAAGCATGGCCATCAAAAAGACTTGGACATAGTAACATGTAGTTTTGACTGCAGTACTTAAAGTTCCCCAATTAGCCAAACTTAAAAACAAGTTAACTGAACCAAGCTCAACAGCTTTCAGCCCCTTGAAATTCCATAAACTTTTCAGCCTTGCAACTTTGTGCCACAGCCTATTTCTGGGCTCAAACTTAAAGATCCTGCATCAACATCCCAATGCATTTTCCACTTTCCTTTTTTTCCAAAAAATGCATAATAAACATGTCTCTGCTCTTACTTGCGCTGAAAATATCATTACCAAACAGGTAGATAGTCTATAAGATTGTCTTTCCCAAAGTTTCAGTAAAATGAACTTACATGGTTGTAGAAAAGAAGCTTTATCTTTACAGCCTAGAGAATTGCAGAAACATGTGATTGATTTAAGAATATAACACAAATGACAAACCTGTGAAACTTCGAAAACGTACTCCACAAGTGAAATGTTTGATTCCCAAGTAAGTGAAATGAGCGAGTAATTCATCATTAGATAACGAATCCAGAGTTCTAAAACTTTGAGTGTCAATGTTTCCTTTCTGAAAGACACAAGAAAAAAAAAAAGCATTGAATCATCAAATTAAACTATCAAAGTGAACAACAAATCGACGAGTACTTCAAAGGAACAAATTGAGAATGGACCTGAAAGCCATTATTGTATTCGCTCGACTCTTTTCCTGAAACAACAAGATCAGTATTTTCCTCATCCCTGCTTGCAAAGCATCCCAAAAACTCGTTATCATCAAGCTTAGAAGTAAAATCAGGAATATCAACTGTTTGATTAATAGCCTTGCTGAGATTTTGTAATTCTTCAATGAGCAGATCACGAGCAGTTACAAATGCCTTAATAAGCAATACCTGTTTCAAGAACATGGACAGCAATAGAAAGATTCTAGGTCAGAACCAGTACAAGCTGAAGGCAATTTCAAGTAAACTTCAATTAGGAAAACCACTTGATCAAAAGATTTTTTCTATTAACTACACATCCAAGGAGAAACAATCTATTTCAAAGCACAATTAAAGAAACGTGTGTTACAGGAATTTGAAACTCTCAGAAATTATCACTAGGATATTTCTTATCCACCTATCATGCAGAGCTTGTAGAACGGGAATTATTAGCTTTGACATCTCAATATGGTGTTACTGAAACTGATGATGCAGAAGCATTTTGACTTGCTTTTCCAAACAACCAAAACAGCATTGAGTATTTCAATGCTTTTCAGGTGGTAATTTATTTAGGTTGGGATACCTTTTTGAAGCCAGCTTATTCCACGAAGCAAAGGAACTCCTTAGAATCAAAATATGGCATGAGGTTGGTAGGTTCTTAATATCAATCTTATTCAACTTATTTACTAGAAATACTTTTCAAGATAAATAAAAAACTGAACAATACCCCTCAACTGGCTTATTATAGCTATTTACCACTATGAACAATGCCAACAATAAGTTTCCTTTCTATTTGCCTCCCACAATTTTTTCACATACTAAGTTACATTCACAAAGCCTTCTGAACTATCACCTTAGTTGCAGTTTACCCTCAAAAAGTAGATATCCACTTGACCCTGACAGATGTTTTTAGCAAGTTTTCTAAGCAAATTAACAGTCAAATCCAATTTTTTTATTTTATTCGATTTAAAATTTCCAATGAGTCTTCTATATTGAGTTCAAATATCTTCAGTTCAGTTTTCATATCAATGAATTTTCCTTTTTATGAGGTCATCTTTAATTCAGTTCTCCACATATCACCAAATTTTCCTTTTTCTGAGTTCTTTCTGTGTAAACAGCCTTTATTCAAGGTTTTTCACAGTTTTTCCTAAAAACTATTCTGTGGCCATAGACCAAAGCTTTAATTTTTCATTCCACACCAGCATGCATCATTAATCATGTTTTAAAAGTACTTTCTAAGTTATAATATCCCATTTCTAGTTTCCTTTACAGATATACTAGTGACTCAAAGTATTATTTTGCCACGTGCAGCAAACTCACGCTAATTCTTGATCCAATCAGGTTTAGTCTCCATGCTTCAGAAATCTGTTTTCATACCAAATCAGAGTTAATAACTAGCACCTTGATATAACAAGTGCTCAAGCCTTGAGGGTGCTACACCAATTACTGAATTCTTCAATCCCGAATACACTTCGTTGTTAAACAAACATTTCCAGATAAATGAGAACCTGTACTTATTCCACTAGTTGCATACACCTAGGTTGTAGTTTCAATGCAAACCCCCCATAAAGATGATACTTAAGCAACCATAGTTTCACAGTGGCCATTGGTAACTTAAAACCTTAGACCTAGCAGCTAGCAGAGAAACCTAGATTTTTAAGCCCATTAAACACATGTTGCCCATTGGATATGCAACATAACACTCTGTCTACCAATCTTCTGTTGCATGTATCATGAAATTTGCCTTACTGGGTTGGAGGGGCAATTTTTCCCGATATTGACAACTGTAATAGGTACGATTCTCACTATAGGCACAACTCGGATGTTACTTATTAGAGGCCTAATACTAGCGCAATAGGCTTGTTAAGTAGCTATAGAAACCAGGTATAACATGCATAACTCCCTTGCCTCAGTGATCTAACTCAAGTATCCATGCAGAAAAAGTTGAACCTTAAGTTTTAAAAGGAAACTTTCAACGTATGCCAGGTAGTCCTCTTAAATCGATGTCTTGAATGCAAAAGACAGAGCTGGTTGATAGGATTAAGACCAGATACAAATATATGAGTCTAAGCAGTAGCCAAGAACAATTCAAGCCAAAAGACAGATGAGAATAAAAATCAAATGAAATCTGAAGTTCCAGGAACAACACATACTTGCTTCGAGGTATCATTCTTTTCGCCAGCAACTTCGCGACCTAGAGAACCACTGAAAAAGGAAACAATCATGTTTACTTATCTAAATTAATCTCTAACATATAGCAATTTGTGGGAATACAAAGCCAAATGCACCGAAGTACCTCTAAAAAAAAGTTAAGTTTTGGCTAGATCGTCAAAATTGTAGGTTGTCACTACTTATCAGGTTCAAGAAAAAGGAATAAGCAACAAACCTGGGTACCTGCAGTGAGGAGGGCAAAAGGCCACCTTTTAGAAGGCTGATGTGTACGGTGATATCAACTAGAACTGAATGAAAGGCATCAAAGTGAACAGGGCAATATGTGTGTAGCCCCAGAAGAGATTTGGGAGGAAGACGAAATTCATGAACGGCAGCAGGGCATGCATCCAATGAAGCTAGCAAATTTGAGCTGCAAATAGTACCTAAGCATCAGTGGCTTAAAGAGATGTCTAGTTTTTACTCACAGAAGAATGCAAAGTATAATTACAACTGTCCTTATGCAATACATAACTCAAAGAACATATCTTTTAACTAACCTGTCCTCCAACACTGGAGCATACATGAGCTCAAACTTCAATAAAACAGCTGATGTGGATAGACCCTAGTAATGGCAAAGTAACAGTAAGTTGCGAATGTTTGAGAACAGATAAAAATAGGACACTCAAATTCTCTGCAGGTACTACTTCGAATCAGAATGTGCTAAGACTTATCTTCCTAACCAGGTGGGAGTTCATCTCTCTTCAAAAATTCTAAAAGTTGCCTCCTTGGTCTGATATGACCCAGCCATACATAATTGATTATGTTTGCCGTGAGTCAAGGCAACACCTCATTGCTCATTCATTTGCATTGAAAGTAGTGATCACTTCTTTCCAAAATTTATAAGCTTTTGTACAGCTACTAGAAATAGACATAACAGACAAGACGGCAGCGGACAGAGAGACTTCTACCTCATGTTTACTGAGAGGTAACGTGAAAGCAACCATCATTGACAAAAAAACATCCTGCCTGGCATATCTAATTCGAAAAGGCTGAGTTGAAAAGCTATGGTCTGTGTCATTGATTCTCCATATTCCACATATGTCATCACAACCCATATCAGGAGCTGCATTCAACAAAGATACAAACTACTAATACTCCTTTGTTGACATATGTTAAACCAAAGTCATGTGTACAGAACAAGAAGGCCAATATCAACTTCTCCATTTGCACATAGCTAGGGATCTTTCAATTACATAACTGGACAATTTCAAGGGTAACTGGTCATGCATTGAATAGTGTGTTGGAGTATAGAGAGAGAAAGACAAAAACTATAGCTCAAGACTCTACCCTCTTATAATATACGAGGATAAAATTTGGAAAGGATAATTTGAGCTTTCAATGGAACAAAAGTGAACGCAAATGAGTTTCATAAAATTTCTAAACATAATGAAAGAAATTTTAGATAACATCTTTCGTGGAATTCCACATTACTAACCAAAATATCGCTGTGAAGACAAATTCTACACGGCCTTCAACCAAATTAGCAATTTAGAAATCTTATTAAATTAGCAGACTCAACAAGCTAGATACACTGATCATGCAATACCACAAGTAGCGATTTAGAAAATCCTCATCATTGACCTAAACACAAAAATGAATCAGCTTTAGTCAATAAATCTGTTCATTGGGAAAAAAAAAACCTTCATATTGAACAACTCTTGATGGAGTTCCCAATGAGCTGTACTCATCATCCTCCACCTCATTGTTATTTTGATCTGATACCACCTATGTACAGTGCCAGAAAAAGATGAATGAGTTAAAAGTTTAATCGAATTATAAAATTTGGTTCATACACCGTAGGAAAGAAGTTCCAGTCAAGATATTATAATACCCTTGCTGGAATAAATCAAGGTTGTGAAACCGGTGAATGTAAATGGCAATCTCATGGACAGCCTCCAGCATTGGTTGTTCAGATTCTTTAGCTTTAGGCTCCAGGGAGCTGAGGTCAAGCAATTGTGTCTGTTTCTGTTGAGACGGGGTTAACAGAGGCAAGGGTCTCACATCAGTAATATGTAGTTTCTTAGGCGCTGATTTGTTCAGACCAGTTATGACCCATCTGAGACGTCGTAATATAGCTGACATTTACAATAGTTTATTCCAATTCCAGAAACTAGCATCCCGCCAACTCCTCTTTCCCCAATCAAGATTGTATTATCATTAGCTGCTGGTAATGGGTAAATGAGATTAACCCTCAGATTCGTAGTAAATCTGATCGATTTGTAAAATTCTGGTTTGAATGAAATAGCTATAGCCAAAGAGGAAGAGAGTTTCACCAAGAGATCTCTGCATCACCAAAGGTCCACTGGTCAAGCACTTCTAGAAACAAACAAATTAAGCTCGGATAGTTGTATAGAGTATACAAATGAATTAATTGACTTTACCAGATAGACTTGCAGTGCATTTGTTAATTGGACATAAGAAAATGAAGTTCTCGCCCACTCTGTCTCTTTTGTCAAAATAAAAACTAAAAAAGAACAATGGTATCACTGCCCTTTGGAGCATATGCCTCCTATCTTAGACCATCAACAACATTCCTTTTCATCCAAGAAGTGCCAAGAACATGAAATCATAACTAAAATTATGTTCCTCGAAGCACATTCGTAATGCAGTTAAAGACTTAAAGGCCTACGAAGAAAGAGCAGCTCGTGTGAATTCCATCCTTTCCCTGGGAAAGCTTTCCGTATCAAAACCTGAGAAAATGATGAAAAGTCTTTTTTGACTTGCATGCTATCAACAAATGGGACCCCTAAGACATAGAAAATGCATATCTGTCACATCCAAGCCACGCCTTTATAGCACTACTCATCTAGGTATCTCCTGATTGGACCCAACTAAGCTAAGTAAAGCACTAGATCACAATTTTTCAACACATTCTCTACCAACTAAAAGGTGGGTCTTGGGGCACCATAGTTTCCGCAGACTCTGTACTCCTAAAATCTACACACAAAGGGTGTAATGACTGCCCCACTGTCTGAAGGTCGAAGGAATCTCTCAGGGCAAAATCTAGTTCTTATTTCTGCCCTTCTTCCCCATGATGACTAGCAACAGGCAAATCAAAACTTTCACTTTGGATTTCGGACTCACAGATGGGAATGAATGGACTAACCCAAAAAAAAAAAAACATAATACCTCAAAAACCTCTGAACAGAAAAAGGGATCGGAGAATCAGGGTGTGGGCAAAAGAAGCTCAGCAACAAGACAGGTAAGACCTGATTAAGCAACACAACAAATTCTCACAGTCAATATGCACTGATTTCAAACAAGAAGACCAACAAAACTAAAATGAAGGTAATACAGTATACCAGGCCTTTGAAAAAAAAAAAGAAATAAATAAAGTAATTGCTTAAAGAGGCAGGAAACTAAAAGCTCCAGAATTTGACAATTTCTTGCATGAATGGAATTTGGAAAAGATCATCAGTTTCACTGTTTCTCTTCTAGGTTTAATTTGGGAAAACTAATAATACAAATCCACCAAAAAGAAGAAATCGAGAACAGAAATTAAGAAAGAGAAACACAGGGAGCTCATTATCATCACGGAGCGATTAGAGACGAAGTGCTTTTAGCAAAAAATGCAGAATCCGCTACTTATGAGACAGAGACAGAGAATACAGCACCAAGAGCTTGACTAAACCTTAATCCCGCATAAGCTCATACATAAATCCTTTTCATTTATGCAAAACAGGAACAGAGTGTGATCCAGGAAGAGATTTGCAGAATAGTAGAAAATACCAGGCTTGTGTTGTGTCAGAAAATAGAGGGCTTGGGCTTGAAATTGTAGTCCAACAGTGGCGGCAACGTAATCAGAAGTGGTGGTTTTAGCGGTGGCTTGCGGCGGTGACGAGGCAGAATTATGATGGTATGGGGCCGGGTTGGGTGAGGGGTGGGGGCGGGGACAAGAAAATGGGAATAAACACAAAAGACAGGAAGACTTTCTATTTTTCGTCTTGGAGCACGTGCACATGGACACCTGTTCGGCCGTGGGGATTGGGCACAATGAAGTGTCGGACATACCCAGCATGGCCCGTCCGGCCCACTAAAGTTGGAGCTCAGCCTCGTGTTAAATGGACTTGATTGAATTTGGATCTAAAGATTGGACCTGATTTTAAAGTGAGCCCAATTTGGGGATTGCAACTTTAGTTCAAATCATTCACATGTAACTAGGAGTGTAAACGAGACTAAACAAGTTTATTTGCCGAGTCGAACTCGTGCAAGATTTTATTTAAAGTCTAATTTTGGGGCACTTGTTAAGACGCCAAATTTATACCTAACTTACCATGTCATTATACGCATTTACAATCATTGCACACTCTATATTTAAACATTTTTCTAATAATTTTAATCTTGTTAAAATTATAACCAGTGCTCTCGCGTTAGCAAACCTTAATATATTTATATATTTATTCTTTACAATAATAACATGTTTCGTATTTGTTTGTCTATCTAGATCTCAGGCATTATGTAAGTATGGCCAAATATATTTTGAATGAAAACAAATATGTTTGGTAAAAATAACATTTGGCTGCAATTATTATTGGTAATGTGAAATGTATAGTAAAGCACAAGCAAGAAAATCCACCAATATCACAATGCCAAAGCAAGAATTGCAATTAGGAATTATTTGCAAGCTGGTTCCTGAGAGTTATTATTACCAATATCAAAAGGGAAAAAATTCAAAAGGTATCACTAAATTCTAAACAAATAACCAACAACAATCAAGACGGAAGAAATTCGAAAAGACTGAGAAAAAAACCCTAAACACCAATAGGCTACAAAATCAATTCGTAGAAATTCAAAATATAAATAGATATTATGTGAAAAAAAGGTTTATAGAACTTAGTTAGTGAAGATTTTTGTTGGCATTTGACTCGAGTGTTTGTAATGTTGAAATGTATCAATGAGCTCTTCTCCTTCTTTGTATTCTTTTACTTGACATTTTGGTTATCCTTGTTAGGGGGTAAATTTGAGCTATGGAGATTATGATTGATTATGGAATCGGATATCAGCAAATAGTTTTAGTTGGCAAAATTGAAGAGTTCAATAGTGCTTATAATGCTGATTAATGGTAGTTGCAATGATTATAGAATTATAGTGGGTAGTCTCGAAGAACTGAAACCACAGCAGGATGAATCAACTCGGTAGAAATGAAGGCGAATGGATGAATGAAAAGACATGAAACCACTCCTACATGTCAAAAAGTGGAATGAGGGTTTGGACTAGAGTTGCACCAACAACAAACGGAATACTACTCAGCAACCATAAAAAAACTGATATAAGGACCTTAGAGGAACCAGTCAAGAAACAAACTATACTTCAAGCAAGGCAAAGTTCATTGAAGAGAAAGCAGAACATAGTCTAAGTAGGCAAACTATATCTCTTATGACAAATTCTAACAGCTAAGGTACCAACTTCTAAAATAAACAAAGTTCAAAACAATGAAGGAGAAAGAGAAAATGAGCAAATATAAAATTAAGAAAAAACAACTCGACTGAAAACCTTTAAATCAAAACAATGGCAAAAATCTTGCCAAAATTGCTAATGAGAGTGGAGCAAGGTACTAGCAAGATGAAAGAAAGAAACCGTAACAAACATAAAAGGAGAGGAACAATAATGAAAACTAGATGCACATTGATAAAATATGGGTAACCAGCACTTGAAAGAGAAACAAAAGACTAGGAACAATGCAATGCAATGAAAATCCAGATAGATGGAGAAAAATGCTAAAGATGGAAGGAAATCCAACATATAGAAAATAAAAGAAAATTCATCGATAACTCAATCAACATGAAAAGGAAGGGTGATGGGATATACAAAGTAAATATAAGATAAAGTAAGAGATGAAGAAAATAAAATGATGGAAGTAGTGAATGTAACAGCCCACTTTCCCTAAGGCGAACCAAAGAGGTTAGACTGCTGCCAGCTCTCGCCAGGACTACGGATCGGTTTACATCGATCTATTACGTTTCGGAGCATACCGAAGCACGCAAACAAGTCAAAATCGCAAAATAAAAAAAACGAAAAAATCAAAGCGAAGATGAACAGTAACGGACACGTCAGAATCCGGCCGGAATCTGGCCGGATTCTCGGCCGGATACAAGGCGAGAGCAATCCAAATTTTTCCAAAATCCTTCCAATCGGCCGGCAATCCGGCCAGTTTCTTGCCGGATTCCTGGCCGGATTTCGGTCCCGTTCATTCCCGCCAAATTTTTTCCTTCTCCGTTTGAAATTCTAGATCCGAAATCCATCCAATCATCAACCAAACATATATATACATTGAAATTCAACTTTTACAACCATAGTGTCATGCCAAAACCATCTATCATGAATATACATACTCGGTTTGCCAATCAACGAAAATGAACCCAATACACAATAGAGTTTCATTCGATAAGCTAAACAAAAGCCATTTACACTAGCTCACTTGGCAATCGACTATCCAAATCAGTCCCAAAAGTAATTATATCCTGTAAGGAAAACAATGGAAGGGATGAGCTAAAGCCCAGTGAGTTACTACACATAAGCAACTAAGAGCATATAGCATAACCTTTCATTTCAAGTAGCAATTAAGGAATGAAACACATCGATAAAAGATACGGACGGCTCTCAAGGCCATTTCCACGCTTCCATTCTTGATCCAACCTCATTGACCCTCCGTCAATGTTGAAGTAACCAACCGTAGACTCTCTTCTCTCCCATTCCTTCCACCAAACATCGCCCTTACGGGCCCGCACTCCAAACACTTGCACTGTGGTATTACTCGAGTATACGGAATCAAGAGTCTCTCATACTATAAGATTCCTTATAACTTTACCCAAGGCTCATTAATTGTCACGACCAACCTTGTCGGCTCGATTCAATCAACTACCAATGGGGTTGAGTCAATGATAACATTTGTAGTCGTTGGATACTTGTCCAATCGATACTAAGTCATGTATTTCATTTCATATAACAGTCCATATAACAGTCCATATAACTTTCCAATAACATATGAAACAATAAGTGAGAGTGATAAAGTACACTTCACATCAATCCATTAACATACAACATCTCGAGTTCAAATATCAAAAGCATATAATAGCACACAAGTGAGTAGTACTCACCAATCAATTAAGTGCTATTTCATGCACTTCGTCAGGAGATGTCGTGAACCACCGTCACGCCTAGTAGAACACGTAAAAAATGCAATGAGACTCGATAGCGAGTCACAAACAATGCCAATCACAACCCCAATAGGGTTTTGCAAACATATATAAACATCATAGGAAACCAGAAATTAGGAAAAGGCTTTAACTTAGCCTTGATAAGAAACCGGTTTTGACGTCATAATGCGGTAATGACACAACTCTCACTACAATTATCGGATGGGGCTGTAAGACCACCGTTTCGAGCTATGGAACAGGGCTACAATAATGTAGAAGACACTCAATCCAGTTCCTAGCTTAACTAGGTCGAAAATGCCAACTAACCAGAATTCTAAACAGGTTCACAAAACACAAAAACTGTAATCGGTATATCTCAGTCCATACAAGTCAAATGCCGAAATTCCAAAGGAATAAGTTAGCTAAGTCATCCACTAACATTTATCAGAAGACACCAATTCAAAATCCAAACCAATTCCAGTCAAAATGGCCAATTACTATCGCAGTTTTTCGCATTCTGATCAAAGCAGAACAGCTACAGTAAACGCATAACTCACTCTACACTCATCAAATGACTGAAATTTTGTAGGCATCCAATCACATCATACTACAACTTTCATGTTTTGAGCAAAGTCAAATTCGGCCTCTAACCCTATGATCCAAAACCGGACAGAATTGGGGATTTAAGAACCCTAACTTTTCAAATTTCACACCAAATCCAAAATTGATTGCATTTCACCACAATTCACACTCACTAGAGTCATTTCCAACCATTACAATTCATCATACAAGCCCCCAACATCAAGATCATATTAAACCAGAAAAATTCCCAATAAAATAAAAACTCCACCAAAACTCTTCAAATCAAGAAACAAATCATATATTTCAACACTCATGCCACATTAAGCACAAAATAACCATCATTAGGTGTAGCAGAAAGGTTGAAGCATCACTCACCTAACAACAAGAGAGAGGAAGATGATGGACACCTTAGCTCTTCCAAACAAATCCACAAAACAACTCACAACCACCACTTGAAGATGTTTTATGGAGCAAATCAAGGTTGGATGGTTGGTTTGATGATTTGGAAAAGATTGAAGTGTTTCTTCTTTGTACTTGGAGCAAGAGAGAGAGAAAGAGAGAGAGGAGAGAGCCGGCCATATGAGGAGAAAAAA